GGATGTTGTGACGATAGTCCGATAGTCGTCATGACGCGGATGAGAACGATCATCACGCCCGTGCCATTATCATCGTGGTCGTCGTCATCTCTTATCAGGCAGCATTGGTGATGCAGAGGATGCTGTGACAGTAGTTATCATCACAGCCGTTAGTGATGCCAAGGATGCTACTACGATGGTTATCATCCTTGTCATCATCTGTATCATCATCTGATCATCACCTAGCATCATCTAATATCTTGATATAAACAGAAATCAACAGGGACGTTAGACATCCTTGGCAATGCAAAGGAAGCGACGATGACAGTTATCAAGGAACAAGTGGCGACGCAGAGGATGTTGTGATGATAGTTGTCATCACGCGGATGATAACGATCATCACGCCCGTGGCATTATCATTGTTGTCGTCGTCATCTCTTATCAGGAAGCATTGGTGATGCCTAGGATGCTCCGATGATAGTTATCATCCTTGTCATCATCTTTGTCATCATCCGATCATCACCTAGCATCATCTAATATCGTATTATAGACAGAAATCAAAAAGGGATGATAGACATGCTTGGCAATGCAAAGAATGCGATGATGACAGTTATCAAGGAACAAGTAGACACGCAGAGGGTGTTGTGATGATAGTTGTCATGACGCGCATGGTAACGATCATCACGCCCGTGCCATTATCATCATGGTCGTCGTCATCTCTTGACAGGCAGCATTGGTGATGCAGAGGATGCTACAATGATAGATATCATCACAGCCGTTAGTGATGCCAAGGATGCTACGATGATGGTTATCATCCTTGTCGTCATCTTTGTCATCATCTGATCATCACCTAGCATCATCTAGCATCTTAGTATAAACAGAAATCAATAGGGACGTTAGACATCCTTGGCAATGCAAGGGATGCGACGATGATAGTTATCAAGGAACAAGTAGAGATGCAGAGGATGTTGCGACGATAGTCGTCATGACGCGGATGATAACGATCATCACGCCCGTGCCATTCTCACTGTGGTCGTCATCATCTCTTGACAGGCAGCATTGGTGATGCCAAGGATGCTACATGATAGTTGTCATCCTTGTCATCATCTTTGTCATCATCTGATCATCACCTAGCATCATCTAATATCGTATTATAAATAGAAATCAAAAGGGACGTTAGACATCCTTGGCAATGCAAAGGATGCGATGATGATAGTTATCAAGGAACAAGTAGAGATGCAGAGGATGTTGTGATGATAGTTGTCATGACGGGGATGATCATCATGGTCGTCGTCATCTCTTATCAGGCACCATTGGTTGCCCAATTGTTCAGGCATCCTCGTGTCTTTTTTCTAGCGTGCTTTTTGTCAGTGAAAGCACCTCAAATTAATATTTTTTAATTTGAGATGCGGGAGACTTTGTTTTGGGCTGCATCGTGCGCCGACAGCTACCCACGAAGGGCACAGGGCGGCAGCCCTTAAATCCGCCCGAAGAGGGCGAAGGGGCTGTGTGTAGATCCCTCCCACCCGCTGGGGAGGGGTTTACCCCTCCCCTTACCCCCTTACCCCTCCCCACAGGGGTGCCCCCCTGTGCTGCCGACTTTCTTTCCCCCTTATGTATCAGCCCATAGTGGGCCGGCAGGCTCAAGAAACACAATTCGGCTCTTGGGGGTAACCCCCCCCGCCCAAGCATGGGCCCCCTGCTTAACAGTGAGGCTACTGATCCCCATCTAAGCTCGGTTTTGGGCATGGTTTTCGCTCAAGACATGAGCAAAACACTGTGTTTTTGACACTTTCGCGTGGGCGCGACCTCGGAAAGCGTGAAAAACATAAGTTTTTGCGGAAACCTGCTTATTGGTGAGGCTTCACTGGCCCCCGCCAAACCCGGCTTTGGAGATTGCATTGCCTACAGCGAAGTGTCTCGAAATAAGAGTGCGTGAGTGAGTGGGTGAGTGGGTGAGTGAGTGAGTGAGTGAGTGAGTGAGCAAGTGAGCGAGTGAGCGAGTGAGCGAGTGAGCGAGTGAGCGAGTGAGCGAGTGAGTGAGTGTGTGTGGAGTTGATGTCAGTGTGTGTTGTGACGTTACTACTGCGCACTACCTGCAGTACCGAAGGGGGCGACGGGGCTGTGTGTAGATCCCTCCCACCCGCTGGGGAGTTTACCCCTCCCCTTACCCCTCCCCACAGGCGTGCCCCCCTGCACCGCCGACTTTCTTTCCCCGGCAGGTTCAAGAAACACGATTCGGCTCTTGGGGGTACCCCCCGAGCATGGGCCCCAACTTGGGCCCGGTTTTGCGCAAACACTGGAAAACACTGTGCTTTTCTACGTTTTTTGACGGCTGGAAAGGCGCAAAATGTGGAAACCTGATTAACAGTGAGGCTATACTGATCCCCATCTAAGCTTGGTTTTGGGCATGGTTTTCGCTCAAGACATGAGCAAAACACTGTGTTTTTGACACTTTCGCGTGGGTGCAAGGCCTCGGAAAGCGTGAAAAACATAAGTTTTTTGCGGAAACCTGCTTATTGGTGAGGCTTCACTGGCCCCCGCCAAACCCGGCTTTGGAGATTGCGTTGCCTACAGCGAAGTGTCTCGAAATAAGAGTGAGTGAGTGAGTGAGTGAGTGAGTGAGTGAGTGAGTGAGTGAGTGAGTGAGTGAGTGAGTGAGTGAGTGAGTGAGTGAGTGAGTGAGTGAGTGAGTGAGTGAGTGAGTGAGTGAGTGAGTGAGTGAGTGAGTGAGTGAGTGAGTGAGTGAGTGAGTGAGTGAGTGAGTGAGTGAGTGAGTGAGTGAGTGAGTGAGTGAGTGAGTGAGTGAGTGAGTGAGTGAGCGAGTGAGTGAGTGAGTGGGTGGGTGGGTGAGTGAGTGAGTGAGTGAGTGAGTCATTGAGTGAGTGAGTGAGTGAGTGAGCGAGCGAGCGAGCGAGCAAGTGAGTGAGTGAGCGAGTGAGTGAGTGAGTGTGTGTGTGTGGAGTTGATGTCAGTGTGTGTTGCGACGTTACACGCTTATGGGCCTGCTTCCTTCCGCAAACGTGCCTCGCGCAAGTTGCCCCGTGCTTCGAACTGCTTGCAGTAAACTGAGGCTGCCGGCGGGGCCGGTGGTGCGTCAGCAACGTAAATCCGGCTACACCTCCTGGGGTAGCATGTCGCCGCTAGGCAATTAGCCTGCTAGCTTTAGCTATAGGGGCTGCACCCTGGCGCCGCCGACCTCGTCACTTGGTCGTGATGCGTGGCCTAAAACCAGCTCGGGCTTGCCTGTGGGAAACCCTTGCAAAACATCGCTGACATATCAGGGTCTGGGGTTGGGCCTGGGTGATGCTTCAGCGGTCTGCATCATCAAGACTTCCTTCCAAAAAGCCTCTCAACCCAAAAAGCACTGTTTTTTAGAAGGTGTCGGAGGGATATAAGCGAGGCTCATTTTCGCGCATTTTTGCGCCAAGCGCTGCCGGGCATGCCGGCGATGCTGGGCCCTCGCTCTACAAAACGCTGTAAATACCGTCAAAAACTGCTGTGCTGAGCGGTCGGCTGTTGTTCTGTCCGTTTTGCTTTTGCTGTGGCTGGCTCGCGTGCTGCGCGGTCCTTGCTTTTTTCGCGTTGGTTTTCGGGCCTTCTGGCGCGCGCGCGAGCGACCCCAGCCACAAAACGCTGCTATTTACGGTGTTTTGTTGCTTTTGCGTTTCCGGGCTGGCTTGCGGGCTGTTCTTTTTGGGCTGCTGTTTCTGCGGCCTCTGGCGCGCGCGGGCGCGACCCCATGTCAGCCTTATGGTTTGGGTCCCGGCTAGGGCCCAGAAAGCTGGCATCCCCGGCATCATCTGGGGTCGGGGTGGGCAACACGCATAACCTAACCAGCCATGACATGGTATAACTTCAAAGAGGCGTAGCCGGCTAGAGGCCGCAGGCCCAGAAAATTTTGCTTCAATGGACATGCGTTGCCAAATTTGTTCAAGCCCGCAAGAAGGCAAACGCCCTTCTCAGTGGCTTTGTAGCCGGGTGGTGGAATTCAACTTTGCTTACCATCGTCGAGAGTTTGCACACGTGCGGCGTGTTGGCCTGGCTTCAGAGTTTGTCTGAAGCGCCGCCGGTGCGAACCGGGCTTCCTGTCAAGATTGGGTCCGGCGTTTGGCGCAAGCTGGACAAGATGGCGCCGAGGTGGTTTGGGAACAACTTCTCTGTGCACAGCGCAGCCCCGCGGGCGCGCTCGTGCTTCGAGGCAAGACATGCTGCAAATCACGCCTCCTCCGAAGCCTCAATCTTCGCATGTCCGCATGTCCGCGCGTATGCGCGCTGCGTGTCTGCGCGCCTGCCTGTGTGCGTGTCTGCGTGTCTGCATGTCCGCGTGTCTGCGTGTCTCTGCGTGTGTGGCTGCGTCTGTGTTTGTCCGTATTTTCTGTGTGTCTCTTTGTGTGTGTCTGTGTCTGGCTGCGTCTCTGTCACGGACTGCGTCGGTGTCTGTGTCTGCACAAACACACACAGACACACACACACACACACACACAGGTACCACAGACTACCGGCGCCACCACAGATACACACGAACACACAAACAGAGACAAGCACAGACTTCGTGTGTGCGTCTGTATATGTGTGTGTGTGTGTGTCGCTGTGTGTGTGTCCGTGTGTGTGTGTCCGTGTGTGTGTGTGACTGTGTCCGGGTCTGCGTGTGTCTGTGTGTGTGACAGTGTCAGGGTCTGCGTGTGTCTGTGTGTGTCTCCGTGCGTCTGTGTCTGTGCGAGTCTGCTTGCGTGCGTGTGTCTGTGTCTCTGTGTGTGTCTCCGTGCGTGTGTGTCTGTGCGCTGTGTGTGGGTGTGTGTGTGTGCGCGCGAGCCCGTGCGTCTGTCTGTGTGTGTGTGCGCGTTCATGTTTCCGCGCGCGGCGTGCGCTCTTCTGCTCGCGCACGCGCGCTTGTGCGCGTGTGGGCAGGAGCGTGCCCTTCAGTCGCGGAATCGCGCAAATCAGAAGCAAAGATGATTTTTGGAACACCCCGCCCTGGCTCAAGCCTGTCAAGGCCCTCCCACGCTCTCAGCCAACGCCTTGCGTCCTTCATTTCCTTCAACTGCACGGGCTCATCCTTGCCGGTCAAGGGAGTGGTTGCGCGTGAAAGGCATACCAAAGCAATCTGGACGATGCCCCAATCTTCGGTCACTCCTCTCTAACTTACTACGCGAAACACAAAGAATGGGGAGAAACAACACTCTGTGATTCTCAAATCTCTTTCACGGATCATCCAAACAGACCATCGACAAGGGGCTCCCCGAAACAAGCTGAAAAACCCAAGGTCAAGCATCAACACTCCATTTTTGTAGTCTTGAACTCTCGAGCCGCGCTGAACAACACGCAAGCAGGCACAAACACGCTTCGCAAGCAGCCTCAGATGTCATGAAGCTAGACGCTTTTGGCAGTTGCGCCTATCTCATCTCATCTGCAAGAATCGCAACGTCCTGCTTTGGCAAGCCACCCGCCTCAAAGGTCACCAGGACTCTTCTCCTCAGCGCAACAAGCTTCGACCCAAGTCAAAGCACAGACTAAATCCTGGGCCCCTCCGGCCACTTCTGGGGAAGCACCCCGCACAGAAACTCCGTAGTAGCAGCTTGGACTCAAACAAGGGCGACGTTTCCAAAGAAAATGGTTTCCCAGTGTCAAATCAAACTGCGCAGGGCCACGCAGACTCGCTGAAGGCTCAGCCGCTCGACAACAAACCTGTAAGGTTGGCTGAGTGTACTTGCCAAACGGGCGCTGAGAGTGCTGAGCCTTGAGTGGCCTCGAGTGGCCTTGGCGGCCTTGACGGCTCTGCTGAATGGCAGCGGCCGCGACTCACTGGGCGGCAAGGCTTTGCGCGTGCATGAACTGCTGTCACTCAAGCGCTGTCTCCGCACGACCGCGCGCAGCTCAAACATCTGATTTACTAAAACAGGAACGAAAACAAGCTGACACTAGCAAGGCATGCGCATCATCTGCTGACAAGCGTCCCGCGCTCTTCGTCGTCCTCTGGGTCCTGGCAGGGGTTGTCAGGGGTTCTGCTTTCGCACAGTGTTGGGCTCGCTGCGTTCCCAACAGGTAGGACGCACACACCGAAAGAGAAGAAACATCAGGGCGCCCAAAACCTATTGAACTATTGCTTGGCATCTTCGACATACTGGCGTGGAATGGTTTGATGCCACGGCGCTTTTTCTGTAAACGCTCTAAAACAGCTCATGAACAACAACTTTATGCAAGGAACGTAGCTCAGGCACTTCAATCAGCTGATTTTTTTGGGCGCCCTGAGCAGATCCTCAGAATCCAGAAACATTGGGGATGTGTCTGGACACAAAGCTCAAAACACAGAGACAGAGAGAGACGCATATCTGTTCAGAGACAACAGCAAGCGAAGGAAAAGATGGCCACAAACAACGTAGCGCGCGAAGAAGGCAATGAGGGCTTGCACGGGAAGGCGGACGACATTTTCGGCCCACAAGACCACGACGCGTTTGCAGTCCGAAAGGTGCCCACTTAAAACGGCCCAAAGCATGTGTTGGGCCAGCGTGTGGTTTCTAATGTGAAATGCTCGATGCGTGGATTCGTCGGACGCTGCTGCTATGTGTGTATATGGGCACGACGCTGAGCAGTCAACGCGCTAAGCAGTCGATGACACGCGTGGGACACAGCGTTGATTTCCACACGTGAGAACTGCCAGTGAACCCTATAGGAAGGAATAAGGAGAAGTAAATGAAACTATTCCCACACGTGAGCGTTGGCACGATGCTGCCACCCTGCGCGCGCATTTTCGATGGTTCCACGCGTGAAAATGGCAAGTAATCCCGTAGAGCAGAACCAGACGAAGTAAATAAAGCGGACGGCCTCCCGCAAACTGACAGTTCAGGACATGCGCGGGCCAAAGCATTGGCTCCCAAAAGTAAGCGTTGGCACGATGTCTGGTGACAGGATGGAACACAGCGTCAGAGTCTATCCGTGCAAGCCTGTGTGTGCCAAGCAGCGGCGGACATGCGGAAGCAAAGCACGAGTTTCCACACGCGCAAATGATATTCTTTGATGGTGCCCGCTACCCCCAAACCACATACGTTCAGGCGCATGCCCTTTATTGCAGCTATTTGGTGGCCGCGTATCCAGCAGTGCAGGGTAGGGGGAACCAACTTCTATATGTAGGGGGCCCTGAGTGAGCAGGCCGTACCGCGATTTACCGTGGTACGGCGTCTGAGACGCGGCTCAACGATAGTGGAGAATGGCTGCGTTGCCCAGACCGCCGCGTGGCGCATGTGCACGCATGAGAAGACACAGATCTGAGAAATACGCCCCAAACCTCCTTCGTCTGTTTTTGCCAACCGAATGTGTAGGGTGTTGCAAGGCTTTCCAGCTCATCTTTGGTCATTTTACATTTGAAGTGGACATTCACCCACAGGTCAGCGCCACACTGCACGGGTGTTGGGCCGAAAAACGGGACAGCTACCTTCAGGTAGAAGCCGACCTAGCGCAACCTTCACAGTATCCACTCATGCAGCAACCTCATTGCCATTTCATGGCTCAAGGCCTGGTAGCTTTTTGCAATCTCTTGCTTGTAGAGAAAAAGCCCGCCTTGCTGACTGTGGCACAGTTTGCACTCGTTCCTGTTGTCATACATATTTACCTTCTGCATCCGAGTAGATCCATACCAGGGACCAGCGAAGTGTATTCCGGCGCCACTTGGGACCCCCTATTTGCAACCTCAGCTGTGGCAGCAAAAGCAGGATGTCGAGCAAAGAGGACTTCTATGGAGCAGAACCATCCGCAGCGGCTTTCCTTGGAAGCCGTCATAACGGCGCGAGCCCCTATGAAAAATGCAAAACTGCCACCTTCGTATGACGGCCGTGTTAGCTGGTTTAGGTACGAAGATTTGTTACGGCTATAGAACCCGCACGAAAAGGCTCGCTTCTCAAGAACCGGCTCGTCGAGGACGCAGCAACACACCGTGAACTTCTGGACAATGAGAAACTCATAGATCCAGAAAAAGGAGCGGAGTACTTTCCCAACTTCCTCCGCGGATATGTCGTCATCGTGGTTGTTGTTGTTGTTGTTGTCGTCGTCTTGGTTGTGGTTGTTGTTGTTGCTGCTGCTGTTGCTGTTGCTGTTGCTGTTGCTGTTGTTGTTGCTGTTTCTGTTTCTGTTGACGTTGCCGTTGCTGTTGCTGCTGTTGTTGCTGTTGTTGCTGTTGTTGCTGTTGTTGCCGTTGTTGCTGCTGTTGCCGTTGTTGCTGCTGTTGCCGTTGTTGCCGTTCTTGCCGCTGTTGTTGTGGTTGTTGTTGCTGTTGTTGTTCTTGTTGTTGTTGCTGCTGCTGCTCTTGTTCTTGTTCTTGTTCTTGTTCTTGTTCTTGTTCTTGTTCTTGTTCTTGTTCTTGTTCTTGTTCTTGTTCTTGTTCTTGTTCTTGTTCTTGTTCTTGTTCTTGTTCTTGTTCTTGTTCTTGTTCTTGTTCTTGTTCTTGTTCTTGTTCTTGTTCTTGTTCTTGTTCTTGTTCTTGTTGTTGTTGTTGTTGTTGTTGTTGTTGTTGTTGTTGTTGTTGTTGTTGTTGTTGTTGTTGTTGTTGTTGTTGTTGTTGTTGTTGTTGTTGTTGTTGTTGTTGTTGTTGTTGTTGTTGTTGTTGTTGTTGTTGTTGTTGTTGTTGTTGTTGTTGTTGTTGTTGTTGTTGTTGTTGTTGTTGTTGTTGTTGTTGTTGTTGTTGTTGTTGTTGTTGTTGTTGTTGTTGTTGTTGTTGTTGTTGTTGTTGTTGTTGTTGTTGTTGTTGTTGTTGTTGTTGTTGTTGTTGTTGTTGTTGTTGTTGTTGTTGTTGTTGTTGTTGTTGTTGTTGTTGTTGTTGTTGTTGTTGTTGTTCTTCGTTGTTGTTGTTGTTGTTGTTCGTTCTTCGTTGTTGCGTTGCGGTTGTTCTTGCTGTTCCCATTTGTTTGTGTCGCCGCCGTGGAAGGTTTGCAACAATTTCGAGCTCACGCGCGTCATGTCAGCGCTGCGCACATGCCCGGCGCCTGATAGGCACACCCGCTCACGCGCGTCATCTGGCACATGGTAAGCACACCCGCCCACAACCGTCATCTCAGCACTGCGCACATGCCCGGCACGTGATAGGCACACCCGCCCACGCGCGTCATGTCAGCACTGTACCCATGCCTGGCACATGGTAACCGCCCACGCGCATGTGGCTCAAATGCACGCAAAGGGCACCTGCCCACGCGCGTCATCTCAGCACTGCTCCAGGCTCCGGTCGCGCAATGGAATCGGCATGTTGATTACGGTCACGATCATGGCCCCGCTCATCTAATTGACGCTGCTCCAGGAAGTTGTCGAGTCAACACGTAACCCGTTCTCGCACGCGGCTGTCACCATGCGCCGGCGTCCGCGCAGGTACGCGTTGATGCGTCCCCTTTAGACCGCTCGTCCTGCGTCACGAGTGTTGCTGCGATCTTGCGTACGCACATCTCCCAGCGCGCAACATTATTATTGTTTTTTCTGGGCTCCGGGTGTCGGCTTTGGCTTCCCCCAGTTCACATCGCCACCAGCAACAAACAATCCACCACACATCCTCAGGCGTCTTGTCCGAGAAGAGCCTGTTCTGGCCAAATATTGGGTCTCTGGATTGATGTTGGCGAAGTTGATTTCTGGGCCCTAGCAGGCCGCTTGTTCCTCATTCGATCGATCTTCAGCCTCCAAAGCAATCGAGATCATTGAGGGCGGCGCGGCGGCGCCATGCTTCATCATCACGCCGTCGACGCTCTTTTGCAGCATGTTCCTCCCGACATACATCACGGCATGACCTCGCTAAATGTCCACGTCAGAAAGCAAATACATCCCACGAACAGCGACGAAGCAACCCCATACGTTCGAGCGCCCCTTGATGGTCAGCTCACTGAAATCTTGAGCGTGCAACTATGAGTCTTGAAGTGTCGGCGCGTCTGGTGCATTCTCGAGGTTCGGTCTTCCAGCCGTTCGAACGCGACCGCCCACAAAGGCGCTGGTTGCCGGGACATTGGCCTCCAGGCGAACGGGAAGGATTCCAACTCATCCTAAGTGCGCTGGAGTCGCAAGGAGATCTAGGATCTTGCGGCCGAGCTTCGCCACTGGCAGCAGTTCTATCAAGGGCGAGGGTGATCCAGCCCGAGATGATGGTGGGGTGGGGGCGGGGGTGGGGTGGGATGCACATTTATGGCGATGCGCAGTGGGGCGATCGCGTTTTGTTCCGATTCCACCCAAAATTATAGTTTTGGGCTGTGTTAAACCCGATGTTTGTAAAAACCCCGCAACAAGGATTTTTGCTTGAAACGGCACAGGGGTTCCTGAAATACAACCCCTCCCCCTGCATTTAGGCTTTTGGGGTTGTATTTCAGAGATGTAAGGACTGGGAAGCTTCAGGAGGGACACTTAGTGCAACTGGGAGTGAAAATCTTTCGGATGCCAACCCACTCTGCAACTCCAGTTCTTCATTGTCATACGGCTTCCAGTGAAACCCGCTCGGAAGCACGGGGAACTGCGACGATTGACCGAAATGATGCTGTAATCTCCTTAGCCCTGAATTAGGAGTGTACAAAAGGAACGGGGCAGTGGCAAATAAAATTGTTGCCCGAAATAATGGCGTACGCTTGGGAAAATCTAGCGTGCCCACTGCGCGTCCATGTTGGGGGTGTCGTTGGTCTCGCGGCCAGAACATTTGAGCCCCCCACCTTGGAGCTCTGGCCTGTACGAGGTTCATGTTGTTGGCCACTGAATATCAGCTGCAATCCACATGGTTGCTCACGTCAACAACTTTGATGGGTAAGCAGGCTACTGCAAGTCAGACAACCCTTCAGTACACCCCTAAATGCTTAGGCACAAAGAATTATGAAAGTTGACACGTGAACGCTATCAGCTGCTCAAATAATATCCACAGCGCGTCGTTGCTAAGTGGAGAACTTCCAAAATACAACACACCAAGGTTCAAACTTGCATTTGTGTTTCCCAGATTCGATGGAGCAGAAGTGCAGAACAGCCGGAAGGGCCAATAGTTCCTACCGGATGTGAAAGCAACCTGCCGAGCAGTCAAGATAGCAGAAGCACAGCGCTCTTACCAAGAGATGGAAGTTTACATCGGGCGAGAGATAGGCATCGAGCGCCCATCAAGGCGAATGGCAAGACTGGAATGATGACAAGAAGAACGAGTACGTTGTTGTGGACTTCAGTCTTCCGCAAGAAGAACATGGACATCATCGAAGAGCCATCAAGAAGACGCACGCACCGCAGGCCAAATGGACGTCCCTGTTCGAGCAGTGCACCCTGCTCATAGAACTTGGCCGGCGTGTCACGTTCATAAAACTCATTGGATGCGCGGCGGCTCTGTTGGCCTTCGAAGATCTTGACCTTTCCTTGTTGGGAGTCTCCAACCCAGCACCAGTTGCGAATGTTCTGTCCAAAGGATGGGCAAGCACTCCTCATCACTGCGGCAACGCCTAGCAACACTCCAGGGATCAAGATGGACAAGGCGAGAACAGCCACGACAAGAAATTAAATTCAAGCAGAGAAGTCTGTCCTTGCAGCTTCATCCCAAAACAGCGAAAACGGCGCGCTCTTTCTGAAACAATGTCTATGCAACGACCAAACGATGCTGGATATGTGTTCCCGACATCTCGACAGATTCATCAGGGACTAGTTCAACCAGCGGGAGCTCACTCAAGGACTTGACACAGCGCCCCAGCTGAAGCCGAGGATGGTATTCAGAAGAGACCAAGCAGAGCCAGGGTGGTTTTGGCCAAGCACCAGGACATCAACAAGATAGTGTCTTACGCCACAATTTGCAACCCGATTCTGCGGACATCCGCCAGGGAGATATCACTCGACTGCCCAAGCTCAGGGTGAAGCCAGCTTCCAGACTCCGCTTGAAAATAGATAGCGCGCGCACAATCTCACCTCCGCTGCCTCAAAGCAGATCATTCTCTGAGAGCTGCGCGGGCTCTCAGACAGAAGCATTTGATCAGATAGCTCAATGCTGGGAGCGAAGTCCCAAGGCAAGACGTTGCGCCGCAACATCGTACCGGGCCGTACTTTTACTTCTGGGCCCCTGCCCCTGGCAGTCAAAGGGGGTTTTCTATGTCGGGTTCGTCAAACTCGGAAATCCCCGATCTGTCCAGCGGGGAGCATGAAGATTTACCCCACTTGGTCACTCGGTCACTCTGCCATCCCTCTCCTCGGCAAGCAACACGGGGCCAAGGCGATGCAAGAGCGTGGAGCCGACGAGGGACATGATCATCTGGCCAGGCTCTCTGGCCCGATTTTGCTCAATGCCACGCTATAAACAGGCCAGCGGGCGATGTAGAGCCGGGCACTGTCTGCGATGAAGAGACATGCAGATCTGGCCTGCCGCTGCAAAGATGTTTGGTGTGCGCAGGTTTGTCACGCGACATGGCCGACTTGCGCAGCTTCCCAGCCAGCATAAAAAACAGAAGAAAAGTTCAAACAACGTTGGCCAAAACGGTACAAATTAACTGCGTCACACGAAACGCATTAGGTAGCCCCCCAAAAACGCAACAGAATAACATACATGTGTTTGAACAAAATGGTAGAGTCTGGTAGAGCCAGCAAAATGGAAAACGCAATCACAAACGTGCAAAAACAAACGTGCGTTCGGCAGTTGTGCTGTTGTACTTCCCCCCAGCAAAGGTAAGAACGAAGAATGAAACACATGTTGACCAATGGAACATTAAAAGCAAACATCAAAAAGCAAATACTGTCTTACTTCTGGCAGGTTGCCTTTTTAATGTTCACTACTTAAACTAAACAAAGGAGTTCAAAAAAAGATAGAATCCAGAAAAAGAGCAATGTAAAGCCGCAATAATGTTGTTGTTGCTGCTGCTGTACGTTTCATGGGTCCGCACTTGTTTTGTTCATACAGTCTTACTGCTTTGTATTTTTACTGCGGGGAGTCGTAAAACTGCCAGACGCAAGAAACGTTGCACTTGTTGCGGGGTGATTGACTTCTCACTTTTCTGGCTCTAACGAGTGGAGGGTTACAAGCAATCCCAGACTACAATCACAATGCTAAACCAACACTCAACTAAAGACCTCTGCTGAAGTACTACTCAACTGTGACTAGACTAGGAATACACATGGCCCAACACAAAACACAATCCAAACTAGACGTAGCAATGCTCGAACTTATGCTGCTACTGCACTCAAGTAATACTTGATCGACGAGACTGCTCAATTGATTCTTAACGCTATAGTACTACTACACCAATACTGAGTTCATAACAGCCCGTACCTGAATTCAGGCTGCATGGTGCAAAAACGAATGCATCCTGCATTTACCTGTATGTTCCATTGGTCACTTGACAAGACTTAACTGACTGGTGGCAGATCCTTCAAATTTGGCCAGTTGCCTCCATCCTCAAATCCAAAAAGGACAAGAACCCAGAGAGCAGCTTGTTTGTCCATCCATCCCTCATTTGCCGATTCCCCCCTGAGAAAAAACGAAACACTGTCCTTTGTCCGGTCTGGAATGCAGCCATCCAGGCACATGAAAACTCGCGATCATTCAAAATTTCAGAAAACATGTTCTCTCTGTGTATACACACCTATGACGCATTATGTCCTTGCAGGTCAGCAGAAAATTCCGCTTTTGGTTGGTCATTGGCTGAACATGCAATCGACTAGCCCAGCAAGACTCAAGTAATCCGGCTTGAGGTCTGAATCAACGGCAGGCCTCGGGGCCTCCGCCGAAGAAACGCTCCTTGATGGGCACAAAGCCCAGGGCGCCCTGAGCTGGACATGTTAAACAGCCAGACCCGATTCGGTCCGTAAGCAAAAAGCCAAAGCGAGGTTGCACGTCCTGCCTTTTCACTGCTGACTGGAAAACCTTTCCAATGACTCATTTGCTTACACATGATGTTCGCCCGGAAAGCGGTCAAAAAGTGTGGCTGCCTCAACTGGAGCACACCTCAAAAATGCGCCAAGTTGAGCCAATTCAGTTTGGGTGCGGATTTATTTATTTTTTCGGATTTTTTGGGATTTGTTTTTCGTTTTTCGTCCGAGCCAGTAAAATGTCGTGTTTTACTGCATTTTCTCGCGAAATTGACGCATTTTACACTAGCCCGTCAACATCCCCAGCACCGTTTTCAGCATTCCGACCAACATCCCTAGCATCACCAACTAATCGTGGGCAACAAAATCGAAAAAGTAGCTGGCGGGTTGACGGGGTCAAAAAATGTATGGTTCAAATGGGGGGGCATTTCAGTCCCTGTAAAAAATCACCAAAAAGTAGCGGGGGGGTTGGGGGGGGGGGGTGAGGCCCACTGTCCCAGGTGCCTATCCCCGAAGGGAACTTTCGGGGTACCCTGTGGTAGTAGAGGTCGTTGATTTGGTCCCTGGATCTATTCCGGAGAGAATCCAATATGCCACTGTGGATGATTGGAGGATGGATTGTCCCTGGTGGATTGTCTTGTGGATAATCCTGGAAGTGGCCTGCTAAGGTTCTTTTGCTTCACGCGATCATGAATGATGCAATGATATACAAAAGGGGCCTTGAGCCAAATGTTGCGGGAGATCAATTGGTCTGAGAACCAAACACAAAACAGACACAAAATTCTTTTCATCTCCAGCACTAAGTATGAAATACTATTGGCTTCATGGCCTTTGGCCGTAGCCTTGATGTATGCCGTAGCCATGCTGTATGCCGTAGCCATGTGTGTTAAAAATGCCGGATTCATCCTCTTTTCTGCTCGGATGAAATGTCTTGGCTTTCGAAACTGAAAACACTATGTGCTGCTTCTTTTTGAGATACCTAGATGTATCAAAGGGTGATGTACAACGCTATGTACACGCGGGACGATTGTGAAACTATTGATCGCTCACTCATGGTATAGTCTTGTAGACGGCGAGGATCAATCATCTGAATTGAGTTCGTGGTGCTGAACGTATGAATCTTCAGGGTCAGTCGGATCGACGATACCATCGGCGGCTGCTGTCGGATTCACTGCCATAGTCTCCATAATCATTCCAGGTCGAGTTGCTGTAGTCCTTCCACTGCTTCTGATGTCCCCACTGCTTGTTGTAGTCCTTGTACTCCTGCGGGGTCCAGGCTTGTTTCTTCTTGATGTACTCCTGGTATCTCTCAGAGCTGCGTTTACTGGTTGCAGATTTGCTGCGGATGTAAACCATGAGAGGACTGTGAGAGTCTGAGTCCTGCGAGCCATTCATGAACATGTCATTGTTCACGTGCTTAAAGCGCTCTGCGGATGAGACCTGGTAATCGAATATGGCCTTGGTTGGATGGTTCCGCATGAATTCCAGTTGTTCATCATCCATGCCGTTCATCTCGTCCTTCCGGAAAGCCTGCTGGATGTTCGTTTTGCCCCATCCAAATACGAAAGTCATCATCACATCTTGGAATGTTCGATCATATCCTGATCCACACTTCATGTACAGCTGATGACGGACAATGGATTTGAGGGTGCACGAAGTCTCCATTGCATACTCCATTCTGTCCACGAGTGGCAAATCTTTCGTTTCATTCCACAGTCTCTGATATGCTCTCATGAGGATGTTCACGAGACCGTTGGCCGGATTGAAGACGTGCTGGAGTTTGCTGTGGGTGTTCGCTGATTTGTTGGCGTCTCCGGTGATCGCATCGCATCGGTACAAAGTCACGAGCGGCATGATTTCATTCTGAAGATCTTCCTTTGCTGCTCCATGGCTAATTGAAGGATGGATGTGGAAAACTCCAATGGTAGCGAATGGGAGATCTGCCCTCGTTATGTGGCGGTCGTCATACTCGTGGAGTGACTTGTTGGATGATTTCGGGAGCATGCCACGAAACTCATCACTCTGCTCGATATGGAGAACGACGATCTCCTTGTCTCGGCCATGTCCGTGGACAATGGTGCATGTTGGCAATCTCGGTCCAATGTGCTTCTTGGATTCAGTAAACATGGGTGGTCCTGTGGTTGCCAAGCAATCCGAGGTCGGAATTTCGTATTCGGGATCAGTGCAACTTCCTTCAGTTCCGAAGAAACATCTGAACATTCCGAATGCGGTTCCCCAATTCTGGCTCTTGGTGGAAATGTGTCTTGCCAGAAGTTCCACTCTTGCAGAAGGTCCGCCGCGGACAAAGCATGCGATCGGTCTGGATGACCATTGCTTGATCACGATGCCCTTGTAACCGTATCGGATGAACGTCTTGATGAGCTCCCTGGATTTCTCATCATTAGGACTGAAGAATGCGTCTGCTTCATTCAGGCATAAGATGTGTGCACTGTTCTGCATCATCATCTTTACGATCGGTCGATCCTTCATCGGCATGTTGTACACCTCCCTGTTGTCCAGCTTTGGATTCCTCCGTGAGGTTTCCATGGTTCAGGGTAAGCATGTTGATCGCTATGGATGAGGTGAACTCATGCATATTGAGATAGTCCACAGGAGGACGGTCGGTCGGCTGCATCAGCGATCCCAGGATATCGGAATAGGCTCGGATGATTTCCGGGTCATCATGTGACCTGAGCTTCTTCAATCCAAGCGGAAGCTTAATCGGATATCCGGATCCTGGTTGAGCTTGCTTGGACTCGTCAATGGTGGGACATTCTCCTCGATGAGGGAAGTAGAATTCTTCTTCTCCGAGATTGACATCGGGATCGACATGTGCCAATGAGGCTGCCATCAGGTTCAAATGCTGCAACAATGTTCCTTGCCTCGATGGTTTTGTCTGTCAACGCTGTTCGCTCTTCGGAGAGTCGGATGCCATAGTCTTGGTCCTTGAGGAACGCAAGGATCAACAGTGCATCTCTTCCTGCTGGCACATAGGTCAATGCGGCTTCTGACTCGTCGTCGTCAAGGATGACGTCATCGATGCATGCCATGTGGACGTGCGTTCTCCCCGAAGGGTTTGACTGGGATTTCCCAGATTTGACCCCGTGCTCCATGATGCTGAAGAGCTGATTTCCATAGGTTGCATGGAACATGAATGCGATGGGCTTCTTCGCGAACGGCTTGATTTTTCTCTCTTCTTCGGTGGATGGTGGTGCCGGCCTTCGCATTCTGTGCTTGGGCTGAGCTGTTGCCTTCATCTTCATGAGGCGCCTCGGATCTTGACGGATGTGGACTTGGCGGAATAGATTCCGTTGGTAGATCATAGTCCGGTTCGTCGTGTTGAGGCTCTTTCTGCTGCTCAAAGTACAGGGGTCGTCCAAAGGATTGGATCTCGACTTCATCTATGGATCGACATAGAATTCCTTGCCATCGGGCCTGAATGCATTTTGTGCGGATCTTGTGGTAAGCTTGTCAATCCATCGATTCCTTGGAACAATTTCTCCCCGTGCCTTGCGCTCCTTATATGGCCCGTCCACGGATGGAAATACCAATGCAATTTCGAAACGTGATTTTCCATAGCTCGGGAACATAGCCATCAAGAGAAGTCCTGGCTTATTTCCAATGAAGTTCCTGGCATGTGTGATGCAGGTCAATGCGTCATAGAGCTCGACGGATCCATCAGGACCCATGTCCACGTGTCGTCTGCATTCCTTATGGATTCCATGCCTTGGATCATGTCGAAGACATCCGGAAAACGATCTGCTCATTCTCTCAATTCGCCAGAGGATGAGGTCGGTGATCTGTTTCGCCTTGGATGGATCCATGCGGAAGTATTTGCAAACCTGTTCGACATTCTGGACGGTCTTCTCGAGATCAATGTTGCCGTTGTGGCATACCATCGGGATGATGTCGGTTCCGTAAACTTCGGGTTGAGCATTGGTGTAGCAGCAAATGCTGTAGACCTTCTTGATGAAGTCCATGTGTTGCTTCTCCGTATGATTTCCTTCACCTGGCTGCCAGTAATCGTTGAATCTGGCCTTTAACCAGAATACCTCAACTCCATGTGGTCTCTCATGCTCAGGAACGAAGTGGAAATCCGGGTTGACATCGAGGATGGTTGAGCATTCCCTGTAGTATTCGTACACAAAACTCAGGAATTTTGAGTTTCCGAAAGGTCCTGGATGTACGGATTCCTTCTGGAGGCTGATGTTTGTATCCGATCCATATGTTACACACCACCGATCATTGGATGTGAGAACAGGCCGCATCACTGGTCGCCTTGGAAGTGCAGGTCGATCACCAGGATGATTGTCGGATTCCTTCTCTTCATCCAGGATGTTCTTTGGTGCTGGCTTGACCGTGGAGACAAGCCTCAATGCTGGCGGCGGTGACTTTGGAACAAGTTTCGGATGCGGCATCGCCTTTGACGTAGGCCTTCCTGCGGGAGGATGCCCGTCTTCATCTGAATCATCGTCGTCGGAATCTGGATCATAATCAACCTGCTCCATGTTGACATTCTCGGGTTGCTGAGAGGCGGATGGATTCTCATCGGCGACTTGCTCCATGGGGCAGTCGGATGTCTCATCTTCCTCATCACGAGCAGGGGATTCCTTCAACAGTGATGCCCGTCTCTTGATCATCTGCTTTGGCACAGGTGCCGCGGCGCTGGATCGTCCGAAGATCATATTGAGAATGGGCATGTCTTCGAAGTGATCGAGCATACAAGATTGCAAAGGTCGGATTGGTTGTAAACCGAAAGTGGCTGCGGATGCAGACACATATTTCTTGAGATTCAAAATGGGTCAAGCGCAAACACGCGCATCACGGAATTGAGGAATTGAAAATATGCAAAACGGAAAAACTCATGCATCAGAATTCGTGGACATGCGGATCATGCCCAGGTTCCCCAATAAGCAAACATGGATTCTGCTACACCGACTCCTGCAAAGGCAATGA